ATTAAACTGAGTTCACTTGCTAAAACTGGGAACAGAGAACTCTTTAAATCCTTACCTATAATTTTAGCTCTAGTGGCTGAAATATTTTGTTTGTTCATTCAAAGGGCACTTAATCATTGTAAAAGAAACACCTTCCCTTCAATTGAGACTTTAAAAATTCCTTTCAATAAACTAACCAACCTTTAGCAGCTTCAGCTTTCCTGATTGCCTCCAGCTCTGCTCTCTCTTTGGCCCTTGCAGCTTCTTCTTCCCTTTCACGGGCTGCTATGGGTTTGAGGTACTCTATAAAAATGGCCAGAAAAGGTCAAGCAGTAATTTTTTTAAGGATTATCCTAACTTAGCACTAGAAACCACCACCGAAAAACTCTGCCCTCATAGTCTACTTTTATACCTTTATGGGTTTTAAATAGGCTTGAAAGCAGAGCTTCCATTAAGCTTTGATCTAAGAGGGCTTTTTTTTGTATACAAAAATGCACCAAAAAAATCTAAGAAATTGTTTGTCAAAGGGTGCTTTGCAATTGCTGGTGTTTATTCAAGCTTTAAAACTGTCACCATGAATCAAACTTATCTCAGCATTTTGGAATAAAATCCACATTTAATTAAGACAAAAGGGAAATGGGACATCACCAAAATGGAAGCTCAGACTTTTCCCTAAGAGTACATTCTCAGTTCCTGCTTTGTAAATGTTGATAATTCCTGATTGATCTTTAAACTTGTCATTGTTTTGTCAGCATTATTGTTATACTCATTGCTCTTAAATATCCATAATTCTGTAGACTCTCGTGACAGTTGTTGCTGGAAGGGAAATAGATAATTGGAGAGAGAGGGGTAGGGACTTACAATTAGATTCAATTTTGGTTTACAAGACAATGGGCTTGTATTAAAGACTTTAGTAACTTTTAGGCAAAAAGCAGGCAAAGGATTAAGCCAATAGAAACTGTTTGGCATTGAACTCTAAGCTCTAACAATTTAAATGATCAATTTGAGAGGAATCCATCATGTGTAAGATGATTATAATACGTATGATGCACGATCCTTGCAGTAGAGAGCGCTATGATGTGAGGATCGTGCATTATACGTATCTATAACCGCAGTTCAAAATATATCAACTTCATATATTCATCGTATATGATTATAATACAAAACCCAGCAACAAAAGACTTGAAGGTGCACTTCAAATCTGTTATTAAATTTTATCCATTGTGTGGTTCTAATAAATATCCATACCCCCCATGGAAGGGATCGGATTTTCCAGGGGGGAGGGGGATCAATTTGCCTAATTTTCCAGGGGGAGGGGGGTGACCATAGGGAAATATTTCCAGAGGGTTCTTGTGGTGCATAAGAGAGTAACAAAGAAAAAAAACAAAAATTTACCATCACAATTAATTTGCAAAGATATAAAATACAAGCGATTAATGACCTGCTTGAAACTTGTATAAAAACATCAATTTTATGTTCAGTCAACCTCTTTTATCCTTCAAAGCATGAGTGATTTATGACCTACTTGAAACTCATTTAAAAACATCAATTTTATGTTCAGTGAACCCTGCTGTTAATGGCAAATCTTTTATCTTTCAGTTTTCAGTCACACTAGTTCTTATTTGTAAAGGATATTCACTTTCACTGCAGGTTCACGTTCATGCATTCCGGCAGTGGCGTTTATCTTCAAGTGATAGCAGAGCAGCAAAAGAACACTTTCGGAATAATCTCCGTTTAAAGCTAAATAAATATACTTGCCCCATGGTTCATGAACAACTTTGTGATTAGTTCGCAAAGGCACGAATGATAATCCATATTTAATGTGAAAAGATTGGACTGACACCTCCGGCAATGCATTTTTAAGTCTTTAGGCCAAGCTTCAAGGAAACAGTTCACAAAACGGTTCTAAAGTTTGGGTAGTGCCAGATTTTAAACGGTTGTTCAAATTGTATCAAATGGATACATTTAGGGTGAGGAAAATAGTATTTCTTTTATCTTATATGCTTTGGTAGTTTATTTTCTAGCCAGCAAAACGAAAACTTTCGAGAACACAAAACATGGAAAAAAAAACTCTTAATTGGTTACATTCTTCTGCACTTGACTGTTTCTCTATCACAAGAAAGTTACACAAGTCTTTTCCAGCACATCAAACTTTGCCTGACAATTTTCTTATCAATAGAATCAGAGACAAGCAAATTTACCGCTAACTCAAATATGCAAATTTGGTAGAAGGAAATTCGATACTCGCACTGTCTGATCGCATGACAAGGTCCTGATCTCTTTGCTTTCTTCCTGATGCAGTGAGAGAAAGTACAGTTATATTTCCCATGCAATCTTGCATTTCATTTGCCTGTGGCCAAGAACTTTGTCAACAATTTCTTCGTGACTTGAGTGCATAAGGAATTTACTGATCTGTTGTAGAATTCAACAGAAAAGCTGAAAATACATGAAACTTAAAATTTGTTCGTGACTCGAGCACATCAGGAATTCGCATATTAAGGAATTTGCTTTACCTGTTACAGAATTCAACAAAAAATACATGACACTCACAAAATTTGGCAAACTAGTGAAAAAAACTACTTATCTGTTCCCTTCAATAAGAGATGGCAATATTTCCAGGGGTGTGCAAAATGTTTGGAAATTCCGGAGGGGAGGGGGAGTTAATTTTGGGGCCAATTTCGGAAACCCAGAGGGGAAGGGGGGTCATACAGAAAATCCCTTCCGTGGGGAGGTATAGATATTTTCTGGAACCACACAATAATATGGACGTATACAAAACATGGACCGCGGTTCATGGACTACCACATGGACCGGGTCCATGGACCACCCCTAATTTTTTAAAAAGGAGATCACCCCTGTTAATATGAAAATTTACCGGAGGTCAGGCTACGAAAAACACTGACTCGTATTTATTGCGCCCCCATAAATGGTAAGACCATAAACTCGTTTTGAGATACAGAAGATTGAGTGCATTTCTACCCCCAATATTTTCATTCCAACCCTTCCAAATTGCTATTCGATCGGGAAGACACCCCTACCATACTTATTATACTCTATTGTGCATAAAAATAAGCCGATTTATTCTATGAGCGAAGTTTACCCTACAAACACAAATTTGTAATCAAGGTATATTGATGAAAAAGTTTAATGAATAGCTTGTAATTTTGATGAGAGAGCACAGAATCATTTAGTTTCCATATTAAATTTGATGCATTTTGCGAAAACTCATTTGGCATCAGACTTTCAAACATGAATGTTAATTCAATTAACCCCAAAATAAATTATTTCATGCTTTGTTTGTGCTGCATATAGTAGATCATGAATTTTACAGAAAAAGGTCCAGTAAAATAGATTACATAATCTTATACCCTGATTTTTGTGTTGTTATCAGAGTGTTGACAATAAATTCAAACTGGCAGAAAACATGACAAGGAATTCTTGCACACACGGTTTCAATTACGCAGTTTTTGAACTTACGATACATACATACTTTATTTATTCCAGAAACAAACTATACCTCAAAACGAGTTTATGGTCTTCCCATTTATGGGAGCGCGATAGATACAAGTCTGTGTTTTTCTTACCCTGACCTCTGGTAAATTTTCATATTAACAGCGCTGATCTCCTTTTAAAAGATTAGGGGTGGTCCATGGACCCGGTCCGTGGGGTGGTCCATGGACCAGGTCCATAGAGGTGGTCCATGGACCCTAGTCCATGTTTTGTATATGTCCCAATAATATTGAGTCAATCCTATACTAGCAGTAAGGTCAGTCATAGAGCACATGAAATTCAAAATTAGTTCAGCAGTATTGTTCCTACTACTTTACCATTTCTCCTGTATCCATAAGCCACACCAATGAGAAGGGCAGCATATCTTGAAAACTGTTAAATATATGAATGACATACCCCTTAAATTGTTGACTGCACAGATTGAAGTTTGCAATGTTTCAGTACAATCATACATCACATAGTTTATTCAAAAAACTACAAAAAATATTAGTGAAAAACTCGCCTATAGCCTATATGACACTGATAAATAACTGTACCAGAAAAGAGAGAGTCAAGAAAGAACGTGACTATTAGGTGTAATACCAGACCTGGAGCAGACTTTGTACGATCCCTTCAACAAAAAACCGCTCCTTTTTTCACCAAAAATAGGCATCAGACTTAAATTAAACTATTTAAGACGTTGATAAATCCTTCAAGATCGATCTCCGAAGCAGCAAGTCTACACATTGTGGCAATACTTTCGTCCTATCCCTACAATACAAAAATCTGCACAATGCTAGTGAGCTTATCAAAACTATTGACGTGAACTAAGTTGAAACGACTTAACCTCGTACTCACGAAGTCCCTCGCATAGTAGAGCATTTAGGTAACAGATTCGACGATTACAACTTACTCGAATCGCTGGATTCACATTGACCGGCATCTCTACCTCGGTGACGACCAAAAGGCTCCTCTATTACAAGATGGCGCCTGTGAAGCAACAGATATGATATGGGAACTCAGGCCTGATGGGAACTGGAGAGCAGACAACGATCCTGGACTCGTGCCCAGGCTGTACCCAATTTTAGAACGGTCAGAAGGAATTGGGACACGGAGGAAAGAGAGACACGGAGGGAATTCTGATACGGTGGACTAAAAATACACAGACTAGGATGGAGACAAGGACTGCAACTTAAGGACTTGGACCAGGATAGTTTTAGGAAGGATATTTTAGACAAGGTTTTGAGATTACTCACGCATAGCCACGATCCATTAATAATAATAATAATAATAATAATAACTATAATAATAAGTTGATATCTCTGCGACAACAATAATAATAATAACTGATACAACCTTTACCAAATAGGCCTTTTGCAACTAGAGATCACGTGCTTAGATACCGCATAGCAACGCCATACTGGAGAGCAAGCACTCCAGTGATCTCAGACAGTATAGAGGTCACAGAGGTCTGCATTCAAACAAAGAATACAGCGGATAACAGGTCAAAAGGTATCCCAATTCGAGAAATCCAGTAAGAAGTAATCAACAGCTTCCCCGGAGTGTATCAGCTGCAAAATCACACCAAAATTCGTTTTTCGCTGATACACTCCAAGGAAGCTGTTGATTAAAACTTACAAGATTTCTCGAATTGGGATACCCTTTAACTTGTTATCCGCTGTATTCTTTGTTTGAATGCAGACCTCTGTGACCTCTATACTGTCTGAGATCACTGGAGTGCTTGCTCTCCAGTATGGCGTTGCTATGCGGTATCTAAGCACGTGATCTCTAGCTGCAAAAGGCCTATT